TTTCTGTTCCTCCGTTAGTTACAAACACGCGTGTATGTGAATGATTAAGCGTTGCGAATTGTTGGCTTAGTCCTTTGGTAACCCTTATATGTGGATGAGCATGCAGAATTTGGCTGACATTGACAACCGAATTCGATGTTGGTAATATTATCGTCGATGGAAAGTCATCCAATGTAGTCTGTCCAAATGACCAGATAGCACCATCAAATATTTTCGCGTTGATTGATTCAAGAATAGATTGGAGAATAATTCCATTGTTCTTTGGTGATAGATAAGCACGTGAACCAAACGAAATATAAACGGTTTTCTCATGAGTTGAAAGAAATTCATGTAACGGAGTGTCGAGATCAGGGTATTTGTCTGACATTATAGGACCAACCTCCTGTGTTATTGGGTCAGTAGGTGTGCATGGATTTAGTAATATAGGAAAAGACTGAATAAGTATGTTATTTACATTAATACATTCAGATGCATACTCACCCTATACATAGGAGATAGCGGCTGAGCAACCTTGAAAACGGATTCAAGCAATTGTAAAATTAGTGAATAATATAATTTCAATCACTATCGTATAATACATTAAACTCAACTTACTTCAAAACCAAAGAAAGTATTGGCAAGAAAGAGAACGTTGCGAGTTCTCTCGTGCCGATCAGATACGGGTTCAATACCCAACTCCCGTCTCTGTTCATTTATTGTCTTCATTAATGGATACATGGCATACATGATCCTAGCTGGCATTATTATCGAACACCATAGTCTTTCAAAGAATGGACTGTGTTCCATTGACACTAGTAATTGCTCGGCACAAACGAAAGATGCGCTAGATAAACTCGACGTTCACTTAGACTTATTGTTATCAACCATTCCGTCGTTTGAGAAAGCCTGCCAGTCTTTTAGTCAGCAAACAGAAGAGATTGCTCGGGAACGGAACAGCGTTAATATTATTCTAGAGAATTATAATAATTTAGTCGATATACTAGAGATACCACAGTTGGTGGATGCCTGTGTACAAGACGGCGCATATTCGGAGGCGATGGACTTGTCGGCATATGTGACTCGACTGCTTTCCAAATATCCGGCCGTTCCAGTAATCCAACAAATTGATCAAAGTGTAAAACATTCGATACAACAAATGCTTTCAAAGTTGGTTGCATTGTTGAGTGAGTCGATAAATTTACCTGTTTGCCTGAAAGTGATTGGCTATTTACGGAGAATGGAAGTATTCGATGAAGCCGAATTGAGACTTGTGTTTTTACTATCTAGAGATGCTTATTTTCAATCTCTCTTACGGAGCATTGAAAAAGAGAAACACGATCCGTTTGAGTATCTGAGACAATACGTTGGTATTTTCAAAGAGAGATTTTTCGAGATAGTTGCCCATTATCGTAATGTGTTTTCTGATGATGGTGGTTTTATCTCTTCGTCTCTATATTCTTCATCATATTCACCGTCTTCTCCTTCGTCACCATCTTGGAGGGCAGCAATAGAGTCACCTACTTCAGAAATATTAGCAACCAAGCCGGTTACAGCATCGGCGACTGTGCTCGCCGATTATACAGTTCATATTCTAGGACAATTAACGACAGTGTTAGTCGAATTTACTCCATTAATAAATGATACGTCGGCACTTCCTACAATATTAACTCAGTTAATGTATTGTGGAATGTCTCTTGGTCGAGTTGGGGTTGATTTTCGTCATCTAGTCACGGGTTATTTTGAGACAGCGGTTCACCGGATAATCAGATTGATGATAACGAATGCTACAACAGAATTCATCGATGAAGTCAATCGAGCTATCGATAAAATGCAATCGCCGGGGGCCTGGATGGTTGGTGACAAACGGTCGTCTTCACTTAATATTGCTGATTCGATGTCTTCTTTAAGAAATCCTTCCGTGATAGACTCTTCATCATTCACACCACAAGTTATACTTCTTGATTATCCTCCGCTTGCTCATTTGACCAATGCGTATCTTACTGCTTTCAACTCTCTTCGAATACTTGCGCCGATTTCGCTGTTTTATCCTCTTGGCTCACATCTGTCGCAAAATTTATTATTTATTGCACAAATACTACGTGATTACGGAAATACGCTTGTTGAATATGGACATAATATTGTAATATTACAAGGATTCTGTGCTACTTTCGCGCAGTGTTTTGTGCCTTTTATTACGAGATGCTTTGTTGATGGTGTATATGGAGGGTTATTGGGAGACGGCCATGAGCATGGGATGGGGATGATGGATGGAACAGCAAGTAAAGAAGGATTTGTAATTATTGATCACTCAAAGATACTGGATACTCTAAAAAGCATTCTACCTACTCCCAGAAAAGTTGCTGTACATTCTAATGGCAAGGAGAGTAATAAATCTAACGGCACGGTTGAAAGAGCGAATGGGCGGAATGAAAAAATTGAGGATAACACAGTGGATGATATATCGCTTAAAGCAAGTACAGTCACAAACGATAAAATAGACGATGGTCAAGTAACAAGTAAAACGCACGATGACAAGTCTGTGTCTTCGGAAGATCGGCGGGAGGAAGAAGTTAATGACGAGAAGGCAAATGCGGATGTAATAATGGTTAGTTAATGAATTGGACACGAGGGCTGCGCGGCTTTCAAACAAAACTACATTTTTAAAACTATATAAAACAATCTATGTCGAAAAATAGAACTTGATACAAGTTCGGCCACAAGGATGAAGATGTGCTTGTTACTGTCTTTTCTTTAAAAATGAAAACGTTGGACTTCTGCTTGGATTCTATATCTTTAGTATCATTAGCATTATCAAAAATAGTCAAATACAGTAGTTGACTAATTACAATAGTGCGGACACTCTTTGTGCAGACTGTTGCGTGGACCGCCTCACGGGAACGCCCAATGCTAATTAATGTACCCACCAATTCTCATTCGACATACTCGAGCCGTGAGGTTGGTGGCCCGTACACATATCCACATCTACTCTCAAACGCAGATACCATCAACTCACTAATTTGGTCGAAGAACACGCCAGATATTTGGGCATGTAATGGTGATGCAAATTCGAATTCGAGATAATATTCTAAATAACAATGGGTTGACAGAGTATCGTGTGGTATAAATCGCCATGTACTAACCAGCTGTCGAAATAATACATCCGAAGTACCTATTGCCTAAAATTCAGTAAGCGAGTGATTGGGTGATGAGGATACTGAATAACGAGAAGTTGAGTCATACCTGCACATACCATGGCCTTTCGCATGTTACTTCAGATACGTAGGTCTCTTCGAAACCTTTAAAACCAACAGACAATTCAGCTGTAAGATAATTCATTCCCTCATCATTTGTACTTGCAGTAAGTATTTGCGAATGAGTGCAGTATGGAACAAACAGTTTATACTCGTTGATGTTGGCAACAACATCATAAAGTTGAGATTGTGTGTAGCTAGGCCGATTGGAAACAGGAAATAGTGGTGAGAGTTATGAACGGATAGACCGGCCTAATCATTTCGAATGCAATAAATACCCAAGTAACTTCTCGGCTTTGTATTCTCGTTTTGAAGATAACGCACTTAAACTGAAGAAAGTTTGCTTTCGGAAGCAGGCGGATAGATTTCGTGTAGCATATGACAGTGGTTTACTATATGATTTGGTGAGTGTGTATGGAAGTCTTCGTAAAACGGTGGCCATTGGATATGGGAAAAGATAATTGCGGGCATTATTTATTATTGGCTGTTACCATCTACGTGATGATCCATACTCAATACTAAAGCTCATTCGAACAAGAAAATTTATAAATAATAGAAAGACGTAGTTTATTCAATATCTGGCAACATTTCCACAATTATCAACAGCCACAATTTGTATATAATGTTTTAGTCAAAGATTTTCTGGCCCGTAGCGTGTGATATAAAATGAGCTTATTCGAACTGGGAGAACAAAGGATACAGTAGTTTCTGTCAGGTCAGGAAGTCAAGCAATTTAATATTCCCGAACTACAACCAACTTGTGGAATCTTATCACACTCTCTTAAGGCACGACGTTTTTTTATTTCGATGCATTTGCTCTCTAAACAGCTAACCTAAGGATAATTATAATGGCTAGTGCAAAGCAACAGAACAATGTAAGTAATAAAAAAAGTTTCTTGTTAAATCAAATAAAGAAAACGAGAGAAAGACATCATATTAATATTTCAAGCTTGCTAACGAAGAGTGCCTTACCATAAAGGGCAAGATTGTCGCGGCCAGTTAATAATAATGGCACGTGATTAGTCTTTACTTGCGACGCGTCTCGTTCGAAACATTTCTCTTTGTAATCATTATGAAGAATCGGCAGAGCTTTAGGCTGCAATATCACTTCTGCTTACTAGTATTTTGTTTTTGGGTTCATCAAGCTGTGTTCACCCAACTCGGTATTGGGTTTAATAGTTCTGTTGCCCAAAAACGAATTACAGATATCGATTTCGCAGACGTGTCCGTTGACGCATTAGAACAGCCGCAACGAAACATTATTGTGTGTTCTTTGCTTGGAGGTATATTCTTCCTTAGTGAAAAATTATTACAAAATGATGTATAAAGTAACCAATTAATTGACGTTTTCTCGTTTAGACTTTACAGGGCTTAAACCAACTTTAGATATAATGAAAATCTTAATTCAACACGGCCACAATGTAATGTTTTGCATATATGTACATTCGGGCGCATCCACTATATCAAGCTAATATTTATATTATCCCAACATGCTGATCAATTAAGGTGTCTCTGGTAGCTCAAGGAGATATGACTCAGATTTTTGTAGAATATCCTCAGATTCACCGTTATCCACTCGGTTTCGTCATCGACAGTAGATCTCCCAACTATCGTGACATGTATCTTGAAAAATACTCTTTACGACATGCAATTCGTGAAAGACAAGTAGCATATGACGCATACACAAATGCATATAACGCGTATGCAAAAGTGGCAGTAGAACGGGCGATTGATTTATTTGTCTGCGATGCCAATTTACCCGACGCTTGCGTTGATGCTGCATGGACAATGAAGAAGCCAGTTGTGATGATTGGATCATCTTTCGAATCAGGTGTATATTAATAATACATTATGGTTTTACGGTCAAGTCAATTCATTCATTGCAT